TCACACACACACACACACACACACACACACACACACACAGACACACAAACAAACACACACACACACACACACAGGAGTCATAAACTCTATTGTGAACAGATAAGTGGTGCTGTGGTTGCCGTGGTCGACTTGAATAAGCAACGTAATCTTTTACATGCATGCGGTGCGACAGATAAATATGTGAGGCAGCGTAGTGAAATCAGGCGCACTTGTCAAAATAATCAAAGTGAAGAAACCGGCATTTTTTCTGCAGTTTGGGAATTTTTATTGAATTTTCTTTTTTTGTCTGAACACCTTTCAGGCCCTTAAAAAACACATTTCTGTGTGGATTTTGCCGAAAAACGTTCAATATAGGAACAACAAATTGAAAATGTTCAGTTTCCACAGACTCTCAAGCTAAGGAAATAACACATCTTTGACGGCCGTTTTCTCACGAATTTTATCTCTGAAGTTAGGTGACCCCCACCTTTAACATTCGCAAATACCTCGACTTGTATTCAAGATAAATGGACTATTTTTTACACCCAAAGCAAAACAAATGAACAAGCGTTAAAACCCTACTAATAACTCAACATGCCCAAAAATTGACGAGAGGCTGATTCCACCGCGACGTGACAGATATTCAGTGGGGATTACACAATACAGGCGCTGCATGTTTGTTCCAGGCTGTGATTTTTTCTTTTTTTTTTTCGTGAACGGCAGAATACGTTGACAAAGGCAAGGGCAATGACTCTGTCTTTTTTTTCTTCATCTCGCAGGGAGAAATTTGTTCTAGATCTATCACAGAGGAAGATAGGGCTTCGCTCTAATGCTTAATAGATGGGGTTTTGTCCAAACCCTATTCAATCATAATCGGTAACCTGTTAATCAAAATCTTGTCGTGATATTACTTTCTCTTCCTCCTTCCCCCCCTTTCCTTCCTCCATCTCCTCCTCCCCCTGCTCATCATGATCATCATCATGATCATCATCCTCATCATCATCATCATCATCATCATCATCATCATCATCATCATCATCATCATCATCATCATCATCATCATCATCATCATCATCATTTTTGTATTGCAGAATTTTTGTGAAAATGGAGGATTTTATCGTAATATTAACAACATTTCGCCACGCGCGTACTCCATCAGGAACATTACTAGACAACTACCAACACCACCAACACAACACCACCACACGAGCAACACCAACACCACCACCACCACGACACCACCACCAAACGAGTAACACCAACACCACCACCACCACCACGACACCACCACCAAACGAACAACACCAACACCACCACCATCACCACTAACACCAACACCACCATCACCACCATCACCACCACCACCACCACCACCACCACCATCACCACCACCACTGCTGCCACCACCACTGCTGCCACCACCGCCATAAACACCACCATCATCACACCACCACCACCAACAACAACAACAAGCAACAATAAAAACATGAGAAAGAACTCAGTTCATTAACTAACTGATGACAAACAAAAAATACCCTGACACTGCTTTTTCCAACTTTTCCTGGGCTGATTTTGAATCTAAAAGGGCGTTTCAACTTAATAATATGTAATATAATCGAACTAAAGATCCTGGAGACATACACACAAACACAAGCTCACACACACAAACACGTACATACACACACACACGCACACACACACATACACGCACATACACACACACACGCACATACACATACACGCACATACACACAAACACACTCACCCGCGCGCGCACGCACGCATGAACACACACAGACACACTTACAAACACACACGCACACTCACACACATGCACACGTACGCACATACACACACACACCCACAAATACACACACGCACACACACAGGAGTTTGACTGGCCTTTTACTATTGTGGGCAGGTAAGTGGTGCTGTGGTAGCACCGGTCCACTTGAATAAGCAACGTAATCTTTTACATGCACACACACACACACACACACACACACACACACACACACACACACACACAC